ATAAAACAATAATAAGGGAAAAAAAAGATACAGGGGGAGAAGAAAAAAAGAAGAAAAATGGCCCACAAACACTTGTTTTGGTTTTCAAAAAAATATAGTTACCGAAGTAAAAACAACACACTAATGTGTCACACTAATGTGTCGGGACAAACCTTCACACTGCAGTCAACACACTAATGTGTCGGGACACACCTTCACACTGCAGTCAACACACTAATGTATCGGGACACACCTTCACACTGCAGTCAACACACTAATGTGTCGTAAAGTATAGTTGGTAAAGATCTGAATTATATTCATTTGTACTCTTTATACAGAAAAGCAACTTAACAGTTGCACTTGGAGGAAAAAAATAATGAAAATAAATTTTCAAGAATATTCATAGAATATCATGGATTTGGGAAAATAATCAAGAATGCCGGGCTCACCTTGGGCTGTTATAAACAGTTGGCTGCTCGCACTGAAAGATGAACATCAAAAACTGAAACAGGAGAGACGAGATGGTTGCCAGAATAAGAAACTTGATGCTGGTCATGGCGGTCATCTTGTATCGTTTGGTCAAAACGCCGCCGATGAAACTTCCCACACAGGTTGTACAGAGATACTCGGCAGCTGAAAGCATCAAGTGTCGTTCTGGTCAAAGATAGCAGCTAAACTGTACAGTCAGAGTTGTCGCGACTGTCTGGTGAACTTACACAACTGTCACTTCTATCTGGTGAACTTTACAAAACCATCACGTTTATCTAGCGAACTATACAAAACTGTCACATCTATCTGGTGACTATACACAATTTTCACGTCTATCTGGTGAACAATACAAAACTGTCACGTCTATCTAGTGAACAATACAAAACTGTCACCTCTATCTGGTGAACAATACAAAAATGTCACGTCTATCTGGTCAACAATACAAAGCTGTCACGTCTATCTGGTGAACTATACAAAGCTGTTACGTCTATCTGGTGACTATACACAGTTGTCACGTCTATATGGTGAACAATACAAAGCTGTCACGTCTAACCGGTGAACTACACAAAGCTGTTACGTCTATCTGGTGACTATACAAAGCTGTCATGTCTATCTGGTGAACAATACAAAACTGTCACATCTATCTGGTGACTATACAAAATTTTCACGTCTATCTGGTGAACAATACAAAACTGTCACGTCTATCTAGTGAACAATACAAAACTGTCACCTCTATCTGGTGAACAATACAAAAATGTCACGTCTATCTGGTCAACAATACAAAGCTGTCACGTATATATGGCGAGTATACAAAACTGTCACGTCTATATGGTGACTATACAAAGCTGCCACGTGTATCTGTTGAACAATACAAAACTGTCACGTTTATCTGGTGACTATACAAAACTGTCACGTCTATCTGGTGAACTATACAAAACTGTCATGTCTATCTGGTGACAATACAAAACTGTCACGTCTATCTGGTGACTATACAAAATTTCACGTCTATCTGGTGAACAATACAAAACTGTCACGTCTATCTAGTGAACAATACAAAACTGTCACCTCTATCTGGTGAACAATACAAAAATGTCACGTCTATGGTCACAATCTTTTGTCACGTGAATATGGCGAGTATACAAAACTGTCACGTCTATATGGTGACTATACAAAGCTGCCACGTGTATCTGTTGAACAATACAAAACTGTCACGTTTATCTGGTGACTATACAAAACTGTCACGTCTATCTGGTGAACAATACAAAACTGTCAGGTCTATCTGGTGAACATACAAAACTGTCAGGTCTATCTGGTGACTATACAAATCTGTCACGTCTATCTGGTGAACAATACAAAGCTTTCACGTCTATTTGGTAAACAATACAAAACTGTGACATCTATCTGGTGAACAATACAAAGCTGTCACGTCTTTTTTGGTGAACAATACAAAACTGTCACGTCTATCTGGCGACTATACAAAACTGTCACGTCTATCTGGTGAACAATACAAAGCTGTCACGTCTGTCTGGTGAACAATACAATAGTGTCACGTCTATCTGGTGAAAATACAAAGCTGTCACCTCTATCTGGTGAACAATACAAAACTGTCACGTCTATCCGGTGAACTATACAAAGTCTGTCACGTCTATCTGGTGAACAATACAAAACTGTCACGTCTATCTGGTGAACTATAAAAAAAACTGTCACGTCTATCTGGTAAACAATACAATACTGTCAGGTCTATCTGGTGACTCAGGTCTGTCACATCTGTCTTTTGAACAATACAATAGTGTCAGGTCTATCTGGTGACTACAAAGCTGTCATACTAACTGTCATCTGTCACAACAATTTCACGTCTATGTTGAACTATACCAGTCAGTCTGTCACATCTACCTTATGTTCTATACCAGTGTGTCCTATCACATCTATTAAACTATCTGTGTGTCTATACTAATCTGTCACGTCAGTCTAGTAAACTATATAAATCCAGTGTCCTATCTCTATTAAACTATACCAGTCTATATCACGTCAGCTTCTATGTCCATCTAGTAAACTGCTCATAGCTGTCACGTCTATCTGGTGGACTATACCAGTCAGTCACATCTATCCCTGAGTTCTATGATAACTGTTTAAGTTGTACCACTAAGCTCGACAATAATTGCTACAGTTGTATCAATGAGTTTTGATATCATCCTCAGAGTTTACATTGTGAGTTATATAGTATTGTTAATGTTGATTCTGTAAGCTCTTTTGTCGTTATAATTTTTAATAATGAGTTTAGATGTAAATGTAAGACTTCGGTTCCAAATGGAGGATAGACATGCTGACTGTTTTATTCCTTGCAATATGTTTGCCATCAGCTACGGTTAGTTATTGCAGTTTCCCCTATTTATAGACTAAAAGTGTATATTTCCGTCGCCCAAGCTACTGAGCCGCGTGCATAGCGCGATACTGCGAGCTACAGACTTCCTGTGCAGTGCTTTCGAGTGCGCCCAAGGTGGTTTATATTGTGAAACTGGCCACTAGCATTCTACCACGTAACTGGTTGTGCCGTATATGAATAATTGCCTGTGCAACTGCGGATGTCTTGTAGCTGCTGCTTCCCTCAAGGATACACTGCAATTCCAGTGCCGGACTGTTTGCGTTGGCTCTTCTGACAGCTGCCTTGTGCATTTAATGCAAATGTTTGCTACTGACTGCAGCCTGTTTCAATTGTTCTTTTGCACAAGGGACAGTGATGAAGATTCTGTGGGGTTGTTTTCGGCCCAGGGATAGAACCACTATAGGGTCACCTACTGGCCTTGGAGTTAGAACTGGGGTTAAAAAATTAATGAATGAATGGAAAAATGAATGAATGAATTAATTAATTAATAAACTAATGAATAAATGAATGAATGAATGAATGAATGAGTGAATAAATAAATATATATATATATGAATGAATGAATGAATAAATTATAAAATGAATGAATGAATGAATTATTTAATTAATTAATTAATTATTTAACTAACCAACTAATAAATGAATGAATGAATGAATGAATGAATGAATGAATTGACCTCACTGCCCCGTCTCCTTCCTCAGTAGTCATCAAAGAGTCGACATGCTAATATTACCAGATGCAGTCTGACTAAAAGTCCGCTTACGTTTCCTCCTAAATGTTCAATCGTTTCCAGACCCTCTGGTGCCCCCTCTCCCCCCCTCCCCCCCCTCCCCCCCCCTGTCTGTTGAATTAGTCTTTCAGTCTACTGATTCCCTGTCTGTCGTTAAAGGGTTGAGTGATTGACTGTCAGTGTCAAAGTTTGATGTCTGCACGAGCCAGTCTGCAGTCATGACACTGCCCTAACTCACCTGTGATGTAATTGCTTGTATGAGTCGGTAGATGAAACATCCTCTCCAGGTACTTGGGGGAAAAGGCAAAGTCGCTTGCAGCATTGAACATGAGGAAACATGAGGAGCATAGGAGACAGATGAAGACAGGGTTTGTGAGCAGCCGCCACAAGGATGCCACAATTTCTGTCAGGGGTGAGGGGGAAAGGTGGGGGGAATACAAATTAGGTTTGACAATATGTCGAAAATACCTAAAATTACTTTATAACCCATTTCGTTCTCCTGATCATCCTTGTTTTTCCTCCTTTCTTGTTCTCCTCCTCTTTTCTTGTATGTCTGTGTGTATTTGTGTGTGTGTATCTGCGTGCGTGTCTTGGTGTGTCTGTCAGTGTGTGTCTTTGTTTGTCTGTGACAGTTTGTTTGTGCATGTCTGCGTGTGTATGCGTGTGTTTCTGCGTGTGTGTGTGTGTCTGTGTGTTTAGTGGATATGGATGTGTAAGTATAAGAGTGTGTACGTGCCTGTCTGTCTGTTTGTATGTATGTGTGTGCGCGCACGTGTGTGCATGTTTGTGTGTGTGTGTGTGCGCGCAAGTGCGTGTGTGCGTGTGTGCGTGCTTGTGAGTGTGTGTGTATGTAGATATGTTTGTTCAAGTGAGTCAGTGGGTTTGCGTTTGTATTGGGTGTTTGTGTGTGTGCACGCAGGCAGATGCTCTCCGACTTTGAAGGAAGCTTAGATTATATCTACACTGGCCGCCCGGTTCTCTAGCGTAGTTTGTTAAACCGGACATCGCAGTGACCGTGTGACGAACTTCTTGTGGTCCGGGTTCACTCCCGGGGTTAGGCAGAAAAGCCACATTTTCCCAGATTTACGGTACCTATCATGGAATCAAGGCCGAAGTGTTGCGATATCCATAGTACGGAGCCAAAGGGTTAACAACTCATGGTTTCTGGAAATTAAAAAAAAAATCTGCACTGGCCAGGCTGCCGGCTGGAAGATGTGTTTATAAGATGGAGAAATGGAAAGGCGCAGAAAGGTATTGTCCTGTATGGGCCTTGATTTTGTTACATCACTACTTGTGGCTCTGCCTCTATGCATCCTAATATTTATAAAATAACAGCTTTTGAAGATAACGGAGAGTATCGAAAAGTCGTCAGCTATATGTTGATGTAAATATTCAGTTTGAATAGACATATTTTTTTTTAGGGGGGGGGGGGGGGGGAGGGGACAGGATCTAACTACAAAACAAGTGCTCTCCTCCTCCTCCTTCCCCGTCTCAAAAAAATGAGTGTTATAAAGTGACCCAAAGGTCACACTTGACCATTTGCTCCTCTTACCTCTAGCGTGGTACACAACTGGTTTGAACCCGCGTCTGCTACGGACATAAGCTGCATGACCATCCAGGATACCTTCTTTGTTTGCTTGTGTTTCTATGGTATTTGAAAGTACTAAATTCTCGACCTCAGCACATCTGAATACAGATAATAAAGGAAGTAAAATTAACTGAAGTTCTAAACGTTACTGGGTGAGGCAGGATCATAAATAACTATGTCAGGAAAGAAGCACTAAACTACATCAAGAAAAGATATCAAACCGAACGAAAAGTATATAAGCAAGCTTCACAATATAACAAATACAAACAAAACGTTAACATTGCGGCTAATGAGCCTTCATCAGCACATACAAATGAAATAGTACTACACAGAAACACAAAATCACTTAGCTGGTATCTCGATGCAGCCGGGTCGGTGTTCCTCAACAGAATGACTACACGTATCGGCTGAGGGAATAAATACCCCCTGTAGAGTATCAGGGGCCATAACTAAGGGGTTGGAGATAAATCTGTGAACTACATCAAGAGACAACAGTTCAGCTGGTTTCGGCATGTTTCAAGACTATTATCAGATAGTGCACCGCACAGAGCCTAATCGCTTGGACATAATTTAATCGACCAGGCATTCGATGGAAAAATGGAATATCTGAAACCGTCAATACGAACATCTACGTAGCACATAGAGAACAAGAAGAAGTGGAACAAGAAGTTTAATAAAGTTTGTAATTAAAAACATAGTGCCATCAAATCAGTAAATATACCACATAATTCCAACGACCCGAGTTTCAGAAGACGACTTTTGACAATATTAGAAAAAAAAAAGACAGTAATACTTTTTGAGACGTTTTATGAGAAGAGTATAACTAGAATATCCACCGGAAAGATATTTAGAAAGAGAGATGCACGGGGGCAACACTAGAAGGACGGGAATCAGCCAGAGGTTAAACACATTGCAACAAAAGCTGGAGATCGCAGTTTGTGGAGAGGCATGACTGTCCACGTTATCTGGCAAGACACTTGATGATGCCCAATGTCATCTTCGAGTGAAGGTTGACCGTAACGTTCTTCCCTGGCGTTGGCCGTCCATTGTGTGACTACCACTGCAGGTTAATAATGATGACCCCTGCCCACGCCTTCATGTTATTGGGCACACAGGGCTAGGCCTATATTTGATAGACAAGTCATCACTCAGTGGGTGATGCGGTCAGCAGGTTCCGGCACCTACGTCAATAACATGTAACCAGAAAAGTAACAAAATAGTTACTGCAAATACAGCAACAGTAACATCAACCGTAACATCAACAGTAACATCAACAATAACATCAACAGTAACATTAACCGTAACATCAACAGTAACATCAACAGTAACATCAACAGTAACATCAACAGTAACATCAACAGTTACGTCAACAGTAACATCAAAAGTAACATTCATTGTAACATCAACAGTAACATCAACAGCAACATCAACAGTAACATTAACAGTAACATCAAGAGTAACATTACCAGTAAAATTAACAGTAACATTAACTGTAACATTAAAAGTAACATTCATTGTAACATCAACAGTAACATCAACAGTAACATCAACAGTAACATTAACAGTAACATCAAGAGTAACATTACCAGTAAAATTAACAGTAACATTAACTGTAACATTAAAAGTAACATTAACAGTAACATGAAGAGTAACATCAAATATAACATCAACTGTAACATCAACAGTAACGTCAACAGTAACATCAACAGTAAAATCAACAGTAACATCGACAGTAACATCAACAGTAACGTCAACAGTAACATCAACAGTAAAATCAACAGTAACATCGACAGTAACATCAACAGTAACATCGACAGTAACATCAACAGTAACATCAGCTATAACATCAACAGTAACATCAGAAGTAATATCAACAGTAACATCAACAGTAACTTTACAGTCTCTAGTTACCCTGTGATCGTTTTCTCCTCCACAGAAATGTCCTTGACCTTCTTTCTAGGCAGTCTGCGCGGGAAACAGAAGAGCGGGATGGACACAACCAGAGAGAGCAGCCCAAACACGATGTAACCCAACCACCAGGCCCCGATCCATTTAGGATGACGTGGCGTCAGCTGTGTGGCTGTCCGAAATTGATATGGTTGTATTAAACGTGTGCTTACATAGGAAGAATACAACACGTTAAGCAACAACTGTTTCAAGCATAACTCCAGCTCTGCGTGTACTTGTTCTTGAAATGTCGGGGGCATGCACTGAAATGTGTTTCTATGGCGCATGCTCAACCAATCTGGTGTTGTCTACGCAATAAAAGTTCAATAAACATCATAATCAACATCATCATCACCATCATCATCACCAACATCTATACCACCAACATCATCATCACCATCATCATCACCAACATCTATACCACCAACATCATCATCAACATTATCATCACCAACATCTATACCACCAACATCATCATCACCATCATCATCACCAACATCTATACCACCAACATCATCATCAACATCATCATCACCAACATCTATACCACCAACATCATCATCACCAACATCTATACCACCAACATCATCATCACCAAAATCTATACCACCAATATCATCATCACCATCATCATTAACATCATCATTAACATCATCATCACCAACATTTATACCACCAACATCATCATCACCATCATCTGCACCACCAACATCATCATCAACATAATCTTTACCATCAACATCATCACCTTCATCACTATTACCATTGTCATCATCATCATCATCATCATCATCATCATACTCATCGTCATCATCATCATTATCATCATCATACTCATCGTCATCATCATCATCATCATCATACTCATCATCATCATCATACTCATCGTCATCTTCATTATTTCCCTGTGGTGGCTTATATGTAACTGAGAGCTCGTAGGCTCCATTCCGTGCCGTCCTCTTTAATCCTCTCCAAGCGGTTTCCATAGAGACAACATTGATGAGGGAAGGGATGATTGGAACACCAGCGCCCAATCATATTTTAGGGGCGGTCAATGGCTAAAACCTTGTTTAGTTTCAACAATAATATATTTAAACCGTAATAATATTAATAATAATACCACGCATCATCATCATCATCATCATCATCATTATTAATAATATTATTGTTATGAAAGCGCAGTTAAATAAGGACCCGCCATAGAAAATTATTAGGGAAAAAACGGTAAGTGGCTGATGATTTGTTTAACTCTACAGTTATGATGATGATTGTTGGTACTATTATTGTTATTAGTTTGTACCGAATTGCACAAGCACACTTTTGGGTTTACCTTCTAGTGTGACGTACATCCGGCTGAAGACACCGCCCAATAGAAACGCGGCAAATGGGCCCAGTATAGACATGGAAGCCATGATACCTGCAGAAGATAAGTGCACAGTCATTTTACGACATGTTTGCTGGAAAAAAATTCTTTAGAGATGACAGAATAGTCATTAGCAGAGCAGTGAGGAAGGTAAACTTATGCACGTTAAGACTTGATGTTTTGAAAACGACGAGGGTCCGAAGACCAACTTACAACATACATCCGAAAGAGACGGTTATAAGTTTGTTTTATTTTCCATGTTGTGGCAAAATTAGGAAATTATAAAGTAACAGAAACTGTATTGATCGGCCCTCATAGAAAGAAGTAGATAGATAGAAGAACACACTAGACAACATAAAAATCGAAAGCTATAGTTACCGTGCCGGGAATTGAACCTGTCACCTCAAGACGGCGTGTGCGCCTCGCCATGGATACAAGTGCACTATGAACATGGTCAACTAGGCAACCCCCAAAAAAGGTATCTTATTGGCCATGTCTATGTTACAGCTTGAAATTCACAACTATGGAATACGGACGGAGTTCATTTCCAACCATTGAAATGGCACCATAGGTTACATAAATTTATATTAACTAAGCTTATGTCGAATAACAATCACAGCAACAATTAACGAACACAGCAGACCTTAATGCTTTGTCTAGATTTAAGAAAGGCATTTGACTGGCAGGTTCCGGTGTGTATACGTCATTCCTATAAATTTGTGGGAAAATGAACATGCTTAAATGGAAGTCTGGTGTGAGTGCGTGACCTTCAACCCCTCCAGGACCACACAACGAGCCACTACCACCCGGTCGCAGAAACCCCGTTCAACCTTTAGGTTACAGTAGGCCCGCTGACAACAACCAGGGTAGGGCTTCAAAATAACAAAACATAGCGTCCCATATCGGTACCACGTTACGTAAAGCTTTCGTTTATATTCTTTCTTAGTAACTGAAAAATATTCAGATCTGAAGGAATATAAACCTCAGTAAAATGTGTTTTGTGAAGTACGGACCCTTGTAGCATCTAGTTTTGTGGAATGCAGAATTTTGTAATATCCACTTTTGTAGAAAACAGATCTATGTAATACCCAGTTTTGTGGAAAACAGATCTATGTAATATCTAGTTTTGTGCAATACGGAATTCTGTATTATCCAGTTTTGCGAAACACCGAATTCTGTAATATATAGTTTTATGGAATATATATCTTTGTAATATATAGTTTTATGGAAAACAGATCACTGTAATATCTAGTTTCATAGAATACAGATCTTTGTAACATCAAGCTTTATGGAATACAGATCTCTGTAAAATCTAGTTTTATGGAATGCAGGCTATATCTAATTTTGTAGAAAAGAGATCTCCGTAATATCTAATTTTGTGGAATACAGATCTTTGTCACATCCATTTCAAAGAATACAGATCTCTGTCACATCCATTTCAAAGAATACAGATCTCTGACACATCCATTTCGAAGAATGCAGATCTCTGTCACATCAATTTCAAAGAATGCAGATCTCAGTAATATCCAGCTGTTGGAATTACTGGCTTGTTTGAAATTAATTTTCCAGAAGACATGACTGTAAATAAAAGCTGCGAGGAAGAGTAGGCAGTGCAAAATAAACATAGAAATAGGAGGCTGTGTAAAGCCTGATTGTTTGTGAATATTGACCAGTGTAAAGCACAGTGTTGTGAAATACTTATTTGTATACAACCCAGCTTGGTGAAATATTAACCTACGTAAAACTCTCCGCTGTGGAATACTGACTTGCGTAAAACCCAGTGTTGTGCAATACTGACCTGTGTAAAACCCAGTTTTGTGCAGTACTGACCTGTGTAAAACCCAGTTTTGTGCAAAACTGACCTGTGTAAAACCTAGTGTTGTGCAATACTGACCTGCATAAAACCCAGTGTTGTGCAATACTGACCTGCACAAAACCCAGTGTTGTGCAATACTGACCTGCATAAAACCCAGTATTGACCCTGGCTGTGTTATCATCCACATAAGTGATGGCGAACGATGACCTTGGCGCCTTGCCAAATCCCTGGAGCGCCATGCCGATCACAATTATGATCAGGGAGGTTTTGTCTGAGGTAGCCCCGGTGTCTTTAACGGTTTTTGCTGAGCACAAGAAAGCAAGTCATTAAAATTAACAGTGACAACAAAAATATGGGGGAGGGGGGGCTCAACAAACCCGAAGTTATGACCATTGCAAGAACAGAGCAAGAAATCAACATCTGCAATAGAAAGCCGGAAACTTTTACAAGCAGAAAACTTCAAGTATTTTGGGAGCATGACATGATCCGATGGAACAATTGAAGCACAGATAGAACATAGAGCCAATAAATAAATCAAATTGTTGGCACAGAAGTCACCAATGTTGCAGAACAGAGCAATCGACACCAAAACAGCACTGTTCAATACACTATTTTGTTTTTTTACAAGCATTTTCTTTTTACTGTGCTAAACATGGACATTAACAACAACAGAAAATAAAGAACAATAGATACAAGTTACATGAAATATTCACGACTAATGCTATATGTAACCTGAAGTGACGGGATCATACATGACGATACCAGGAAACAGGTTGGGACGGAACTAGTACTAAACTACATTAGCGCAGTCTATAGGAGACTCGCTTTTAAATCCAGCTGCGACTCGCTGCAGCCTACGGTCGGTGTTCGAAACCGGGCGGCTCCCGGGGTTCACCCAGCCTCTAGGTAATGGTTACCAGAGTTGACAATCTGAGGTAAATGGAGGAATGTCGCTGTAGCTACAGAGTTACGTGCGAACGGCGACACAGGCGGACAATTCTTATCAGCTGTAGGTACAGGTGGCAGAGCACTTATGATTTACAACCGTGTGCAATGACGCTGGCTCACATCTCCCGACTTAACTTTACTACAGAACAAATGGTTTGGTCATATATCAAGACTGCCACCAGATAGTGCACCACAGAGAACCCTGTCACTTAGACATAATGGAAGTAGACCCAGAGGTCGACCACTCAAGCGACGGATAGATGCAATAACCAAGTCCGTAAAAACCAGCATCTATGCAGCACCTACCAAGAGGCGCATTAGATGCTTGTTCAAAACTTGGCGCGCAGTCATAACACAAATGGCAAGAACACGATACTATTCCAAATATTAATGGGACCAATTGCGTAGATATCTCGAATACAAAATACCAAATATGTACATCGAATACTCGTTGAACACAATTATAAACATTAGATTTGAACAAGATTCATTGTTGTGAAAGTAGCACAAGCAAAATAGAAACACAGTGAGCGAGCTAATTAATTAATTAATCCACCCATTATCCTCATCACACATTGAACGAACCCAAAAGCGTTCAAATACCATCTTGAGTATCTCCTTTGGCTTGTGTCAACTGATAACACCAGTTCTGTGCTATCTTACTAATCTTCTTTGGCTAGCTGTGTAGCGTTCTTGTCTGGCAACATCGTCGTGAAGTTCATCTAGTCTTGTCATGATTGACGAGTCACCGTCGTCTCCTGAATCATCTACCCGTCCCGTCTCCTTGAGAGCATTGACAGCATCGACCCGGTTCACTGCTTAAGTAGCGTCGACATTACAACGGATCTTCATTATCAACGCAGATATAACAAGGTTAATTAATCATTCTTCCTCTTCCTAAAGTCCATGCCGTGTGGCGTTGATAGACATGTACATCCACAACCTTCTGTCTCTTGTACTTTCAGTCAACTCTGATCCAGATGATCCTTTATGCCATGATCTCCAACTGTCCAGCATCTTTTCTCTCAGTCTCCTTCTGCCTCTCCTCCCCTCCAGCTTTCCTTCTGTTACTATGTACCTTAGTTTTCTCCTTCTGCTCACACGACCAAACAATGTGGATTGTCTCTTTCTGATGCGGGCAATCAGTTCTCTTCTTGAGTCAGTTTCTTTCAAAACAGTTAATAAGTACAGCAACGTTATAATCCTACCTGTATCAATCCCACAAGGATCCCCGCTGATGTTGAAGATGTCACACA